AGGCTCTTAAGCAAAGTAAACTGTCATGGGATTAGAGGGATGGTCCTTTTGTGGATCAGTAACTGGTTAAAAGACAGGAAACAAAGGTTTAGAATAAATGGTCAGTTTCCACAGTGGAGAGAGGTAAATAGCAGGTCGCCCAGGGATCTGTACTGGGATCAGTGCTGTTCAACATATTCATAAATTATCTGGAAAAAGGGATAAGGATTGAGATGGCAAAAGTTGCAGATGATACTAAATTGCTTAAGACAGTTGAGTCCAAAGCTGACTGCAAAGAGTTACAAAGGGATCTCACAAAATTAGGTGACTGGGCAACAAAATGGCAGATGAAATTCAATGTTGATAAATGCAAGGTAATGCACATTGGAAAACATAAACCCTACTATACATACAGAACATTGGGGTCTAAATTAGCTGTTACCACTCAAGAAAGAGTTCTTGGAATCATTGTGGATAATTCTCTGAAAACATCTGCTCAATGTGCAGCAGCAGTCAAAAAAGCGGCCAGAATGTTAGAAGACATTAGGAAAGAGATTGATAATAAGACAGTAAATATCATAATGGCACTATATAAATCCACAGTATGCCCACACCTTGAATACTGCATGCAGTTCTGGTCATCCCATCTCAAAAAAGATATATTAGAATTGGAAAAGGTACAGAGCAGGGCAACAAAAATGATTAGGGGTATGGAATAGCTTCTGTATAAGGAGATATTAAAAAGACTGGGACTGTTCAGCTTGGAAAAGAGACAAGGGAGGCTGGGGATATGATAGAGGTCTATAAAATCATGAATGGTGTGGAGAAACTAAATAAGGAAGTGTTATTTACCCATTCGCAGAACACAAGAACCAGGAGTTACCCAATGAAATTAATAGGCAACAGGTTTAAAACAAACATAAGGAAGTACTTCATAGAACGCACAATCAACCTGTGGAACTCATTGCCAGGGGACATTGTGACAACCAAAAGTATAATTGGCTTCAAAATAGAATTAGAGAAGTTTATGGAGGATAGGTCAATCAATGGCTATTAGCCAAGATGGTCAGGGATGCAACCTGATGCTCCGGGTGTCCCTAAGCCTCTGACTGACAGAAGCTAGGCTTGAACTACAGAGGGTGGATCACTTGCTAGTTGCCCTGTTCTGTTCAGGCCCTCTGAAGCATCTGGCATTGGCTGCTGTCAGAGACAGAATACTGGGCCAGATGGACAATTGGTCTGACCTAGTCTGGTCATTCTTATGTTCAGACTGAGCAGACACCAGAAGGCTAGTTATTTTAGGTGCAGGTGGAGCAGGGGCATAAAAGGTGGGGTGGAGCCTCTATTTTATTTGTATCAGGATCACATCTCAGTCCAAGATGTAGGTATTCCTTTAAAGCTTCCCCGCCCATCCCCCTCCTCCTCCATGTTGAGCTGCAGGGGAAGGTAATTAAGTGTACTGGAAGGCACAGCTTCTAAATGGAGAGATGGCTTATGGAAAGCCAGTAAGATGCACAATGCCCCTACTACTGTCCTCCCCGCAAGCCTTTGAAAAAAAAAAAAAAAAAAACCCCGGGGAAACGGGGGCCCGGGCGCAGCCACCCACAGTCCAGAGAGCATTCTCTGGCCTACAGTGTTCTCAGTGACAGAGAGAAATGGTGGCTGCAGGGAAGGGTGCGTGTGTGGGGGGGCAACCACAGCATCTTTACACCACTGAATAGCAAGAGGGATGGATGGTGCTGCTGCTAACCTGCTGTAACCTGATGCAGCAGAATTTAAACAGCATATCAAAGTACAATGACCACGAGCGTGCAGCGACTTCAGGGAACCATTAGCCGCGTGTCACTGGAGAGAGGGCATGCGCCACGGAAAGAAATAGTTTCTCATTCCAGAGCTCTCGGCCCAATAACGTTTCTGCAGCGTATGAGGGAAGTGCATATTTCTGGCAGAAGGCTGTGCATTGAAGTTATATAGGATGCGGATTTGCAACGGATATTACATTTGCACTATAGGCTGTCTGCCCCCTTGTGCTAGACACTGAACAAACATAACATTGGCCCCGACCCAGAGAGCTGGGGGTGGGAGGGTGAAGAGCAGTGAAGTCTCTTTCAATCGGCTTAGGAAGTTGCTTTGTACAGCCTTTGTGGGGAGCCATAGGTGGACATTTTGAAGAATTCATTGCAGCGGTATTTGTATTAGGGTAGCTTAGGAGCTCCAAATCAATCATCGTGCTAAGCACCGGGCACACACATCTGAAAAGAGAATCCCCGCTCGGAATCTGAAATGCTTACAACGCAGCACAGAGGAGGAGAAGGGGAAACAGTTGTATGAGATGGGGACATGGGGGACAGAAAGAGCCCCCAGCATAGGGAATTGCAGGGAGCCCCTGAAATAAACACAGATAGGAGGGTGGCACACAAGGAGCTTGAGGAGAAGTATACAAGAAGTCCTTTGTGTGGGCACTGAGGTCAGCCTCCCCGCTGCCCTTTCATCTCAAAACATTCATCACTTGATGCCAGGAGCCCACGCACTGTGCTAGGCACCATACAAACATTAGTACAAAAAAATTAAATGCTACAACTCCCCACATCTCCTCTCCCCCCCCCCCAACCACTTCTATACAATCAGCCAGAGGCAAACTGGGACTAGGACCCAGGCATCCTCCTCTGAGGGCTAGCACCCTAGCGTGACACGTCGTGACTCTTCAGAGAGTATAGACAGTACTTAGCAGCCAAATCACCTTTGTGACTTCGGAAGACAAGCTACCTGGCCGAAAAGGAAAAACTTGAAGCCACTGCTGCATTTGCTCGAATAGCAGCGGGAAAGGCGTTGCATGGTGCAGACATGGTACATGAGTGAAAGCAGCTCAGGACCAGGAACGGATCAGACAACTGGGTTGTGTACACTCCCAGCGGTAGGATATCTAAG